TCCCTGTTGATTTATTTAGCTGTATTTTTGAGGTTATTTTTTCATTGTGATTTTTCTGAAGATTATACTAATCATCTTCCATTTTTCACAATCTGCTTCAGTTTAATGCTGCTCCACAGGAAAAGGATGAGGCTATCTGGTCCCCTAAAGATGTATAGTCTCAGAAAACCCTATATAGATAGGGTTCCTATGAGATGGAACTGATTTTATGGTAGTGAGTTTTTGGGTTCATTTTAGCATTATTTAGGAACATTGAGGAACAAATATCGCTATTTGTTATAAACTCAAGAATATTGTGCCATTAAGCCACAAGAATAAGTCAAAATGTATTTTTACAAAATCATAGAAAGTTTTATTAAACAAAAATATCAAAACATGAAGTTATTCTTGCTTGACATACCCTCCATCTAGGTCTACAAACTTCTGAAGTTGGTGTTTCCACCTCTCTATCCCTTCCCCGAAGAATTCTATACTCTTCGAATCACACCACATCAAAATAGCAGTGTTGGCATTCTCAAAGGATTCAAATTGTGTTCTTTTTCAATGTTCTTTGAGTTTTAGGAACAGCAACAACAAAAATGTCTACAGGTGCAAAGTCAGGCATTGTAGGCTGGATGGGGTAAAGTTTCCCAATGAAATTCTTGTGCAGCAGCCTTTATTGCCCTCAACAGATGAGCAGGTGCCTAGTTGTGAGTGAAAAAATTTCTTGTCACCACTCTCCTGGCCATTTTCTTTTCTTTTAATTTTTTTGTAAATCATTTTATCGGGGGCTTGTACAACTCCTATCACAATCCATACATCCATCCATTGTGTGTCAAGCACATTTGTTGCCCTCATCATTCCCAAAACATTTGCTTTCTACTTGAGCCCTTGGTATCAGCTCATTTTTCCCCTCCCTCGCTCATGAACCCTTGATAATTTATAAATTATTGTTATTTTGTCATATATTAAACTGTCTGATTTCTCCCTTCCCCCACTTTTCTGTTGTCCATCACCCAGGGAGGAGGTTATATGTAGATCCTTATAATCAGTTTCCCCTTTCAACCCCACCTTCCCTACACCCTCCCTGTATTGCCACTCTCACCACTGGTCCAGAAGGGATCATCTATCCTGGATTCCCTCTGTTTCCAGTTCCTATCTGTACCAGTGTACATGCCCTGGTCTAGCCAGATTTGTAAGGTAGAATTGGGATCATGATGGGGGGTGGGGGGAAGCAGTTAAGAACTAGAGGAAAGTTGTATGTTTCATCATTGCTACACTGCACCTTGCCTGGCTTGTCTCCTCCCCATGACCCTTCTGTAAGGGGATGTCCAGTTGCCTACAGGTGGGCTTTGGGTCCCCAATCTGTACTCCCCCTCATTCACAATGATAAGATTTTTTCTTCTTTGATACCTGATCCCTTGACACCTCGTGTTCACACAGGCTAGTGTGCTTCTTCCATGTGGGCTTTGTTGCTTCTGAGCTAGATGGCCACTTGTTTACCTTCAAACCGTTAAGATCCTAGACGCTATATCTTTTGATAGCCGAGCACCATCAGCTTCCTTCACCACATTTGCTTATGCACCCATTTATCCTCAGTGATCGTATCAGGAAGGTGAGCACACAATGATATGATTTTTTGTTCTTTGATGCCTGGTAACTGATCCCTTCGACACTTCATGTGTGCTTCTTCCATGTTAGCTTTGTTGCTTCTGAGCTAGATGACTGCAGATGGACATTGGGCCTCCACGCAAGTACTCCCTCAATGCAAGAACACTCCGTTCTATTAAATTGGTATTCCATGATGCTTACCTTCCCGACACCATTGCTGAAGACAAATGTGTGCATAAGCAAAGGTGGTGAAGAAAGCCGATGGTGCCTGGCTATCAAAAGATATAGTGTCTGGGGTCTTAAAGGCTTGAAGGCCTGGCCATTTTCTTATCAAAGTAATTTTTAACTTTCTTAAAGCATCTTCATATCCCGATGGTGTTATTATGAAGAAATACTCTTTGAGAGAATCTACCAAGACTACCCCTTTGGTATCCCAACAAACAGTTGCAATAACCTGAACTGAAGACTCTGCCTTTAACCAGCCCAGCAGATCCCCTCAGAAGCCACTGTTTTATTGAATCTTTCTTGTCGAGGCATTCTAACGAGACGAAGACAAGTGTGTTTCTGAGAGAACTAATTGACAGTCATCCACTGATCTCAGAGGCATGTTTAAACACATCTGTGTTTGTTGGGCATGTATGAACCAAAACTCTAGTAGCAATCCCTTTTTACTTATCATCATATAAAAATCACATACTTTTTGAAATGAGAACACTTATTGATACACCGTGTTCTTTATCTATGTATTACCATTTCTGGTGCCCTTCACTCCTTTCTAAGGACCTAAGTAACCACCTGCTGTCATTGCCTTTCAGGATTTTGGAAAAGAAGTTCTTTCCAACTAACCAACCAACCCACTGCCATCAAGTTCATTCCCTTTGTGCCTCCAAGGCTCTAAACCTTCGTGGGAGCAGAAAGCCTCATCTTTCTCTCATAAAAGGACCAATGGAGTCCAACTACTGACCCTGCAACAGTTTGCACCCCCTAGGCCAATTACCTCCATGTTATTTTTATCTGGATATATCTTTACTCTGGCTTCATATTTCAGGATAGCTTTACTAGATATCAAATTCTTGATTAATAGGTTTGCTTCTCCTATATTTTCAATAAGTCACTCCAATTTCTTCTGGTCTCCATTCTCTCTGATAAGCATGCCATTGTTAATGATATGGTCATTTCTCTGTTTTCACTGAGTCATTTCTCTTGCTCTGAAGACTTTCTCTCTGGCTTTGTTTATCAAGTTTGACAACAATGTGTGTGTTTATTTTGTTTGGTAGTGTTTAAAATGAATGGCTCTGTAAGTTGATGGTTTTTGTTCTGCCATGATTTTTAAAAGTATTTTTCTGTGCTTTATTGCTCTTCTTTCTCCCAGGACCTCTTTTATTCTTAGGTTAGTACTCTTGCTGATAGCCCAAAGGTTTCCAAGGCTCCGTGCATTTTTCTTCATTCTTTTCTTTTCTTCAAATTGGTTAATTTGTTTTAACCTAATTTAAAGTTTGCTGAGTCTGGAGTATTATATTTACAAACTCACATATATTGCTGAGCCTCTGTGAGTTTTCATCTTAATTATTATAGTGTTCCCTTCCAGAAATTCAATTTAAAAATCAATTTCACCTCATTTCCGTACTTTCCTTTAATTCTTTTGTTTTTTTCTTCCTGTCTTTCCTGCCCTCTTAACTTAGTCCTTAGGAAAATTCTGCCCTTTTGGTTCCAAGATGTGCACACATTTCTGGTGTTATTATCCACCTTATATACCTATTATTTGACCGAAAATTTGAGTTACAGGGATAAGTTTGGTTCCAGGCCTGAAGGGTGATTAAGGGTCACAATGGGGGTTCCCTTGGTCCTCATCCAGACAGTAAGCTTGTTTTCTAATTATTTTAAATTTCGGTTCACAGTTTTCTATCACTCTCTCTAGGACCTTATTTTGTGATCCTTTGCAGAGAAGTTAGTATTGGGAGTTGAACACCACCTAATTCTTTTGTTCTCAGGCTGGTGGAGGCTGGGACTGTGTGGTCTGTTAACCCAGGAGGCTTTGATTTTCATCACTTTTTGCTCTGAACAGTGAGAGAGCAATAGGTGCACCTTAGATGGCCAATCACAAGTTTTTAAAACTTAAGAGGTCAAATTTATGTTAAATTTAGGACTTTGAGGTTCCCAAAGCATAAGTCATATTTCATATATGAATTCTCAAAGATGATTTTGTCACTCAGAGGTAAGCTAAGACACACGCGCTGCCTTGTTTTCTTCCTGTGTTACTAGAATGCTATTTTCAAGTCTTTTCTTCTTTTCAACAGTTCAGTTCTTCAAAGGTTTTCATTTTGCAAGGTGCCTATGAGGGTGGGGTGGAGTGAAGAGTCCTGATGGTGCAGTGGTTAGCACCGGGCTGCTAACCACAAAGTTGATTGTTTGAACCCACCAGCCAGCCACCTGTGACATCCATTTCCATGGAGATTTACAACCCTGGAAACTCTTTGGACAGTTCTACTCTGTCTACCACTGTTGCTATCGTATGGTTCAACTCAGCAACAAAGGGTTAATGTGGGGGAGGGAACAGTAACAAAAATGGAGGATAATTGCATAATGTTGAGAATCATGGCCCAGCCAACTTGACATATATTTTTAGGAGACACAATCCAATTTATACAGCCATTTTTAGTTTTTCCCTCTAATACTTTCCCAAATTTATGTGGCATATTGCCCTCCTTTCAGAAAAAAATAAAATTACTCAGCACCCCCCTGGCCATTAAACAGTTTTATACAGTAGCCCATAATTCAGGATAAAGTATAGGTAACTACTTTTGCAGCCCTACTGGATCATTTTAGCACCCCTCAGGAGGATGGTCTAGCCCACTTTGGGAAACACAGGTCTAATACTTTGATACCAAATAGCAACTGGATTATCTTTTCAATGTAAAGATTCAGTCTATTCCTATTAAAAAACCTGATCTCCTGCCACTGTGATCTTTGGTGAATTTGATAATTGTTGTAACAGCCAGTCATTCTCTTGTCCTTGGTGAAAAACTTTTAAAATATAAAAGGAAATAAGTTCTATCATATTGACACAGCCTTATTGAATTGTCAAATATTATTAAAAGATTCACATATAGTATGATATGTGAAATATATGCCGATAAACTATTTTTAAATTCTCATATAATGTTAAAATATTTTTGAAATAAAAATATTTTAATAAAACATTTCTATTATGTATGTGTATATAATAATAGAATATACCAATAGTATATATATATATATATTTTTTTACAATATGTGTTAGATAAATATCTTTGCAACCATCCAAGTAAATTACGCACTATATATACCATTATATGATATAAATAGGATTCCCCCTCTATCATATGTATATGTCTATATAAATATAAAGACATATGTTTTATTTATTTCAGGAGTTATTTTTCTTATGATTTGGTGTGTAATGTGGTCATTCTCTGGCTCTGAAGTTCTTCCTGGTGGAAGTTTATTTGGATTTTTAGCTATTTTTTATTGTGCTATTCTTGGGGGGAAACTTTTGGAAGTCATTAAAATACCTTCAGTGCCTCAACTTCCACCACTTCTTGGTAAGGATATAATTGCCTCTCCTTTCTGTATTATTAATTATATGTAAATTATTAGTATTTTTTAGTTGTATTTAATGCCATTTTAAATTATTTCAGGGTAATTCTAGCTATATAGTGCCTTTAATGTGTATTGACTATTATATATGTGTATATATAGTTCCTTTATATTTTCCATACACACAGATTTTTACTAAAAGATATATGTTCAAGTAATTTTTAAATACTCATAATTTGGTTCTTGATATTGTTTTGTTTAATAGGACATTTGTGCTTAATTTTGAATGTATTATAGAAAAATAACACTTAAATAGAGGTTGAATTTTTCTATAGAGAACTTAATTCAAATAGAACTACCAGATTTAACTATTATGGCGACTAGGACACCAAAAAGTTTTATGGTGTTTTTTTAAAATCATTTTATTGGGGCTCATACAACTTTTATCACAATCCACACATACATCAATTGTGTAAAGCACACTCATAATACATCCATTGCCCTCATCATTCCCAAAATTCGCATTCCGCTTGGGTTCCTGAAATCAGCTCATTTTCCTTTTTCCCCTCCTTCCCCCTCCCCGCTCCCCGTTCCCCCACAAACCCTTAATAATTTACAAATTATTATTTTATCTTATCTTATACTGTCCGGCGTCTCCCCTCACCCACACCTCTGCTCCCATCCCCCAGAGAGGAAGCCATATGTAGATTCCTGTGATCAATTCCCCCTTTCTCATCCCCCTTCCCTCCCGGTATCGCCACTCTCACCGCTGGTCCCGAGGGGCTCATCTGTCCTGGATTCCCTGTGTTTCCAGTTCCCATCTGCACCACTGTGCATCCTCTGGTCTAACCAGGTTTGTAAGGCAGAATTGGGACCCTGATA